AACGAAATAGCCGATGAGTTGGCTAGACACGGTTCGGAAATGCAGATAAGCGAGCGGAAAACAATTTCCGAGTACGCTATTGTCGCAAAAAATGTTCTCAGGACCAACTGAAATGACTGTAAAGTCTTAAGTTCTTTTTGAAGAAAGCTTAACAAGAAACCTTAACTAATTCACGCTAAGAATTCTTATCGGCATACGCACAGGGGACCGTGAAATTGCATTAATGCTCCAACGACGGCGTATGCCAACAATTTCTCTGCAGAATTGTCAAGATTCCTATGCTAAAGCTCTCCAGGCAAGGCGACTTAACGAAGTGAAACTATCGAAGTGTCTCAATTTTATCCGGGTCCACAATTGGTTTAACAGGCACTATATTGAAGCTTTAGTTTACCCCCGTCAGAGGGAAGTGCCTCTCCGTGGCTTTCATAAAGCTGTGTTTTGGGACACACCTCACTGCTGGCAGCTAAATATTATAAAGAAATTTGTTTACTCAAAGCCAGCATAATATGCCAGTCGACAAAATAAGAAAAAGAGAGCCATTATATTGTGCTGATAGGTCTTCTGTCTTCTGTCTTTGATTCTTTACTCTTTTTTGTATGGAATAGCCGCAGTTTCAAGTGCCTCTGATTCAGCTGGAAATTTAACTGTGATACGTGCTTACACTTTATTTGACTTCCGCTAGTTGGGAAACATGCCCCCTTATCTGCCTTCGAATAGAAGATCTTCTAATACAACTTTCAAAGAGAAGGTTTTATTAAAAAGTTCTTCTTGAAAGCGTTTATTACCAACACTGTCAGTCTGGAGATTAATTAAAGATAACTCTTGCAAATATGCTTGCGACAGACAATTTAAAAGCTGTGCTCACTTAAATACCATGAACCGAAGATCACATGTGGCATATGGGGCAGACGAGTATCGTAGAAAAATAAATGAACAATTCACGCTCTTTATACGATGGAGTTGACTTGGATGGCTATGTCGTTTGGTATTTTGCACTGACTGCGAATAATTAGTGGAACTTCGCAAGGCAGATAAAAAGTTTCTTTATACGATGGAGTTGACTTGGATGGCTATGTCGTTTGGTATTTTGCACTGACTGCGAATAATTAGTGGAACTTCGCAAGGCAGATAGAAAGTTTCCAAGATAAAAAGAAATTCCTAACCTATGTTAGTCAACTATTTATTTCGTTGTTAGCCAAAAAGGTTAATCTATGTTTTTTTTGCCCTCTTCTCTTAATTGAAATTATGTAAGTAATTGCACTCAAACTCCTCTGAAGGATTTTTTTTCTTAGAAATAACACATCAAGTAATTGCATTGCTCTCGGGAATAAATAAATAAAAATCGGGACACACCTACATACATACATATGTATGTACATATTAGAGCACATAAATTATTTATTATTCAATACCTGCAATGAATGGTATGACAATATGCCACATGCAACACGAGATCAATGAACTCACAGCTAAGCTGAGCTGAGCTGAGCAATTGCGTAGTGTCCAAAGAAGGAAGGAAGACAAGAAGAATGGACGTAAGAACGTAGCTACGCTACATATATGCCAACTAACGTATGCGTGAATGTATGTTGATATCCGGTGTGCGTACAGCGCTGTCATGACAATGAATTAAATTATGAAATAACAGCATCCTTCATAACGCACAACTCAACCCTAACTATATTCTGTGTGATAGGGAGAAAGCAATTGTGGATTGCGAAAGTGCAAGGGGAATTCGCAGCACTGATGTTGGAATGATTGAAGGTGATTGACTGATTGCTGCGGGGCGGGTTGGAATGCTGACTTTACTTTAGGTGGAAAGGCGCTGTATGCTGCGGCTTTTTGACTCGCTCGTACGGCACTGATGCGTTATGGCAGCGAAAGCGGTGGTAGGAGGGAAGTAGGGTATGAGGTTAAGCGCGCGGGACGTTTTTTTTTTTTTTGGCACCAATATTACAGTTTAGGGAGATTAAGTGTTTGAGCCGCTTGCCTGCCAATTACATTCACAACAGAATATTTTCACCACTTGGAGGCGGCATCGAAAGTGGATTAGCATTTCAATGAATAGGGGGCGATTTTTAAAGCGGATGTTAGGAGATCAGATAAAATTAAAGCGATAAAAAAGTGAAAAGTCCAAAAGCGTTTGCACAAATATTTCAATTGGAGACGCCAACAAAGTCCATGCTTACAAACTTACCTTGGCAATTGCCTATTGCAAATCCGTTGACTGGGAATGGGCAAACAGATGGCAACAACCTGCGCTAAAATAAGGGTGAGTAAATGAAGTTAAGTAAATGCGAAGCAGCATAAAGGGGCTTTGAAGATTGTGTGACAGTAGCAAAGAGGGGCGGACAGCCGGCCGGTTGAAGTGCATGCGTATGCGATTGGTGCGGGGTGGAGTCGTACAACGGGCGCGTGTTAAGGGGAGCGCGCAAGCACTCGCGGAACACCGCGCGAATTTGAGTTCATTGCAATTTCAAAAGCGGCTTCGCCTTGCCGACAAAGCGCTTTATCCAACCACTCGCTCACAACTCTGCTGCTGCTCACAACGTTGAGTGCAGGGATGTCAGCAAAGGCGGTGGTCGGTCGGTCGATGGTGATGGCAGTGCAATGGCCTTGCAGCGAATGAAGTTGAAGTTGAATTTGACTTTACTGTCGCCACCACAATGGTGTGTTGCTACCTCAGCGAGTGGAAATTATGAAATTTGTGGAGAGGAAACTCCAGTGGGGCCTAACCCCACCCACCTCTCGCTGGATGCTCGCGCTTGTGCGCCTACCTATGTACCTACTTGATTGACTTCTGTACTTTTTCCGCATTGTTGTATTTGCTGGGGGGGATGCACGGGATTAGGGGGTTGTTTGTACATACATATGTATGTATGTATGCATGCGCGTGTGTATGCGCGTATTTTGCGTGCGAGTTTCTACTCTAGCTTCTAGAAGCACTTTTTAAACTGCAACTAAGGGTGGAGTTGTGTGCTTTGTTGTTGTTTTTTTTTAAGTTCATTTTTCAAAGTGGCTGGGGGTGGCTGGATAATGAGTCAAAAGCACGAAAAGCGTATATAACAAGAGCATAATTTATAAGCGCGCACACCAGCAGGTTTATAATATATTTACATACATACACACATGCATGTGTATTTGCGCTGGGTGGTGGTGGTGGTGGTGGTGGTTTGCGTTTTTAGTGGTAGTAAAAATAAAAATAAAATAATCAATAATAAAATAGCCAGCTTTAGTTTTTGTTGGCTATATGCGCCACTTAACTAGAATTTCAACATTTAATGCCTCATCATGTAACTCGAGTGTCGATCACATTTTCGAGCAAAAAAAAAAATATTCTGCAATTAACTACTGCAAACGTTTAGGCAATGTAGGCAAGTATAAAACTACAACTTTTGCAATGGTATTTCAATAGGTGTAAAAGTGTGTAATAAAAATCATAATTTTTCTTTTAAAATTAGATTACTATTTATCCGATAAAATATATTCGTTATTTTATGGTTTCTATTTTTTCATTTAAAAATAATCGTTATTTTTGGATTTTTATTTTATCGATAAATTTTGTATCGATATTTTTGATTTTCATATTTTTTTATAATATAACAAAACGTTTTTTAGTTAAAATTTTTTGATAACAGTTAAAAATGATAAAAAATTATATAAATAAAAATGACAAAATAACGATTAAATTTGGCTGGAAAAAAATTAAAACCCAAATTCAACGATTGTTTTAGACTTTGTTTATTCAAACCCAAATTCAACGATTGTTTCAGACTTTGTTTATTCCGGTACGAAAATCTTACAAAACAAAGCTCCCTTGCAAGTTTTAAATGGAGATATATGTACTCAAGTTACGAATTTTTGTTTAAATCCGATTAATTGTACCAAAATTCACAAATTTACACCAAGTTATATACCAGTGCGCTACTTAAGTATGTATATCGGGCAGCGGATTTTTTCCCTTTATTTAATTAATTTTTTTTATTTAGTTTTAAAATTTTATTGTTTTAAAAAGAAAAAAATGTGTACGTACATATTTGTTGATATCTGTCATTTACTTTTTAGAAGCATATTTTATGTATTTTGTCTGCTTTTATTTATTTATTTTTTCTTTTTTAATTAGATTTTTAGATTTTGTTAAAAAAGCATTTTTTCATTTCTTTAAATTTTTGGAAACTTAGGTTTTCCGTTATTTTTCGTTTTTTGAACTTAAATTTTAGATTTTATTGTTTAAAAAACAATTATATGTATATATTTTTAAATTTAATTTAATTTAAGAAATTTAATTAACTATTTTTTTTTTGTGTGTTCGTGTTGGTTGATTGTTTTTATTACCTACGTACATTTATTCATATTTTTTAAAGAGCAAAAATTAAATGAAATTAAAAAAATAGCTTATTCTTAGAACAAATAAATTTAAAACCTAAAGGATAATTAAATTAAAAAGAGAAAAAAAATAAAACTTTTAGGTACTTGTTTTCTTTTTTGTAATTTATTTAGTTTTTTCTCTTGTTAATAAAATTTTAATTTAGTTTTAGATTTATTTATTCCAAAAATAAACATAATTTTTTAAGCTTTACTTGTTCGAAACTAATTTAATTTATTTTTGCCCCTTTTTAAAGTTAACTTTTTATTTTTACTAATTTTATTTTCTATTAATTTATATTTTTTGTTATTTTAAAAAAGAAGAAATATATAGTTTTTAATTAGTTTAATTTTTAGAAAATTTGTTGTTAAAAGACAAACAGAATGACGCATAGACCACCCCTTTGGTAGATCTGTCAAATAGTCTTTCAAAAGACTTTTGTCAGAATTAATTAACATACCGTAGTTAACTTGAAATTTTTGTACTGAAAATATACAGTTACCTTAAGCTACGACACTTAACATGCAGAAGTGTTCAGTACGAATTCTTACTTTTATAATAAAAATTTTACATTTCGTAGCTACTAAGGTATTTCAAATATTAAAGAAAAAAAACGTTATTTTTTTGTACTCACCATTTGGTATATTCTGATTGAAATGATTGCCATTCGTCTGATAGCGTTGCACATGATTATCGCCTAACGATGCACCGCCTGCATTGCCATTGATACCGGTGGGCGTGGCAAAAGCGCCCGGAGGACCTTGTGTGTCGTGGCCAAATTTTGCGGCAAACTGATGTATGCCGGAGAACGGACCACCAAACGCAGAGAAATTCATCATGACACGTTGGCGTCGAGGGGAGTTGGAGAGGAAAGGATGGTGAAAAAACGGTCACCAACTAATAACTGTTTCTGCACTAAGTACTTGGTTAGTTTTTTAAAATTTCAAAGACATGCAGAACACGCTGAAAAGTTTGGCAGGAAACTGGGTGGTGGTGGTGGTGGTGGCGATTTGGTAGCCACTTTTTCTTCCATGTATTGCTTATCTTATTGCGCGCCGTCTTTCACTTGCTTGTAAATTATTTTGTGCACAATTTTTCACTTTTTCTTCGTTAACGTTTCAATTACACAACTTGCACGGCTGAGTTTTAAGAAAACTTGTTTTTTTTGCTGGATTTACATAAGTTAAAAAAATATTTAAAATTTTTTGTTACTTATTATTTTTTGAAGTTTTTTTTAGCAAAATTAAGGCGTTTCACTTTACACTTTTAAAGCAATCCTTTCGAAAATTTCCCTACATATGCAAGCGTCGTCCTCTTGCCTTTTCTAAACTCACTCACTCACTAGTCCCAACGTTGTCTGCACCGCAGCGCTAACAATGACAACGACAACGACAAGATGGCTAGTTTTTGCTGACTACTACTACCGTCGTCACCTCTGCTATTATTCCCACTATAACTTCATCTGGCTGGTTGGTGGACTAGTATTGAAGAGGTTAACTTTCGTTTTTCGCGAGCGCAAAGTGTGGCGGCGATGATTTAATCACGGCACCACTAACACTACTGCTGCTAAAGCGGCTATGCGGATGGGCCACGCGACTCTACAGACATCATATACCATACGCATACATGCACTCATATGAATATATATATACATATATGTGTGTGTGTGTCTGCGTATGCAAATGTATGTGTGCGTGCGCGTGTATGTGTTAGCCGTCTCACTGTCGACTCAGAATAGTTAATGCGTCCACTGTTCGCCCGCCCGCCGTTCGTCCGTCCGCCCATCCGCGAGCTCTCATTCTATGCTGTGAGCCAGCAAGCAGCAGCTAACCTCCTCTACAGAGGTGTTTCAGCCATTTAAGGGTGAGTTACTGCTTGCTGTTTGTTGGTATCGCTACTCCACCCCCCCCTCCGTCCATGCATTTGTACTTCTGGTGTTGGTCTTGCCAATTGAATCCAATATGCGCTGGTGGGGTTGGTGGGTGGTTGGGTGTATGGTGCAGTTGTGGTTTAGAAGGCAGGAAACACAAAAAAAAAATATATATATATAGATATGCATATGTGTGCATGTATGTATGTATGTATTTCCCTGCAATTGCAACGCGAAAAGAAATTGTATTTTTAACTTTCAATTTCTGTTAGCTACAAGCGTTTGTGTAGTTAAATTAGCAACTGTGATGTTGATACTAAATTGTCATTGACTTTGGTCGCGTCTATGAGACTCTTTCTCTATGTATCCTTAGAAAGTGACGACCACGACCACGACGACAACGCCGACTCCACTAACACAATGAGCGCAATATGTATGTTTGTAGTTGTATGTAGTTGTCATAGTTACGGTGACCATCCGTCCTTTATTTTAAAGGACAGTCCGTTATTTTAACCCCCTGTCCTTTATAATTTGTTTCAAAATAAAGGACGCCTTTTGTCCTTTATTTCTTAAACTGTCCTTTAAATCGGCTTTGCATTTGTCAGAGGTAAATTTTTAAACGCAGAATATGAAAAATAAAAATGTCCCTTATAAAATATAAAGAAAACTTTCGCCAGTTTGTTTCGCACCCCACTTAAGGTTTTCAATTTAATCGATAATCTTTGTACAATCTATAAAGCATAGGGAAAGTTGTGCCCAGAATCGTGTTGCACGCTGAGTTTCCAGTTCCACTGAAAGAGAACAATAAACCCCCTGCTGCACGGTGGTACAAAACTGGCATTCATTCACTCCATTTTGCACTTAATTTGATTAATTGTTATTTTTTTTTATGAAAGCTTACAATATTTGCATGAGACCAGTTGAGCCTGATTTCTGAATTTTAATTTGATTATATTAAATTTTTTAGTGTAAAATGCAGAAAAGGTAGCAATTTTGAAGAAAATGTATTCTCCTGTTCCAGTTAATAAATGTTACATAACTAAAACTTGTTGAAAACAATTGTATGGTTTTCCCAAAACAAAAAAATATACAACAAAAATTTTTAAAAATGTCATCAAAAAATGTTCACCAAAATAAATATTTTTTTTTTGGTTTTTAGTAAAAATTGGTGGAAAAATGAAGGCTGCGGTGGATTATGAACATTGAATTCCAATTTTGAACCACTGTGTGTTGGTTTCGTCGTGCAGTATGAATTATGGTAAACGCATTTTGGTAGCAAAGGATGGCGAAGTCCTTGAAAAGGATTTGGCTTCATTTTTCGCTACAGCAGGGGAACTTATACAATTAAATAATATAATTAACTGGTAAATATTTGATTTAAATTACGATATGGGCAAGATACTTTTATCATACAAGTTGTATGTACGTATTCCCAAATCATTTTGAAAAAATGTCCTTTATTTTACGTTGGTTAATATGGTCACCGTAGTCATAGTAGTCAAAGCAGTCGAAGGAGTGTAAGTAAGTAGCAGACTAAAAACAACACCAACTACCAAGAACGACTTTAGAAAACTAAGTAAAAGCTTCCATCAGCAGCACCAAACAACAGCAGGCGACATCAACAAAAACAATATGCTGCAATAGCAACAAAAATATGCACCACAGTGTATACTTAAATGTGTTGAAAGCTGAGAAAGTTGGGTTGCCACCTCGGGGGTGGGTACATTGATTGCTCAGCTTACCTATGTGCGCATGGGTCGGTGCGTGCGAGTGTACAGGGTGGGACAATAAGTTTTATATTTTTTTGAATATAATTGTATTTTTGTTTTTGTAGATTGTAATTAAATTCTTGGAAATTTTCAAATTTATTAAAAAAAAATAGATTTTTTCGAGGGAAAATGATAAAATAGGTAATTTCGGTATTTTTCGGCTAAGGGCGCGTGTGAATCGGTAACAAAGTTTTATGGGGAAGGCTGGTGAATAATATTTTTACTATGGTGAGCCAGTTTTGCCAATTTGCTGTGTGAAATAAACTTTTGATAAAATATTAAAAATTGAAATGAAATTAATATTTTAAGAAAACATCTACCCTCATTGATTGCAATTCATCAATTTAAGCTTTTATTTAACGAAAAATTACACACATCAACAATCTTTGCGAATGTCAAAATTGCATTTGTCAAAAAATTTTACTAGCCTTATGAGCTACCGAAGTTTTATTCACCTCATACTTGTCAAAAATTTACTCGCAGCGAACTTTGTTACCGACTCACACACGCTCTAAATAAAGTTTTAAAGCTAAAATTGTTAAAATACTTGATTTACTTTCTATTGTGCATGTTTCTGGAACTCCATTGATTGAAATAAAAGCAGGAAAAATCCTTTAGCATTTTTTCTTCTGCCGAGAGAAGGGAGTGACAAAAAAAAAACAACTCGTGAGATTTGCTCATATAGCAACATCTTCTCCCACGGCCTTCATGATTGGGAGTTTGGTCGATACGTTTTGAGCAACGGGGTTCAGTGGCCCACTGTCCTGGAGGAGGTGCTCTAATCAAAATATTCGCATTGAAGCTGTGCGGCAGAGTGTTGCAAATGATCCATCTGTGTAAACTCGTCGTCGTTCCAGCCAACTGACGAATTTTCTTAAGATGCACTCAAACAAAATTGCACTAACATTGCTACCGAAAGACCAGCAACTACGTGAAATTTTCAGCGAGCGTTTGATAAAAAAATTAAGATTTCCCTTGACCAATTCGTTCACTTATTCGATTTAACAGCGCTCGATTTTTTTATGTGGGCAATGCTACATAGACAGCTGAAGCAAAATATTCGAGACGAAATACGGCGGCTGTAATAATAAACATTACGTTGTGTAATGGAAAACGCACTAAAAAGACCCAAAGGGTGGACATTTGTGTGATGTAATGTTTCATATATTGTACGTTTTAATTTCCATAAAATGCATTTAAGATAGAAACAAATTTATTAAAATAGATAATTATGACAACAGTTATACGGACTTAACATTGGTAGGTATTATTTGGCTCACCCTGTATAAAGTCTGCATGCACAAAGCATATCTGTAGGAATTTCAGCGCTATCTATATGAAGTTGACTTTACTTCGGTAATGATCCCAAAAAACACTCAACAAACATCATTCAATGCACAAATCTGTGGCCTTAACCCAGGGGGTTCGCCATTTATAGTACTTAAAAATTAAATAAAAGTAAAAACAGCGCAGAAAATGTTAAAACCAAGGATGAAAATAGGAATTAACTGTTTTTAAAAAAGTTTTACGCCGACCCCGAACGGCGATTGTATTTTAATGAGAAGCTGTTTTTCATGGCAGAAGTACACTCGCAGATTTGCCATTGCCTGCAAGCCGACAAGCGACCGCTGTTAAGAAAAAACCGTACTTCGCGCGCTTTCATTGTTGACAAAAGGCAACCGCGCTTAAAACCAATAATTTTATTGTGAACAATTAGGTTAGGCTAGGTGGCAGCCTCGTGTCACCGGTGCTCACTTGGACAATTTCCACTATTCCAATAATTCCAGTTAGTCGATTTACTGACTAATCGATGGTGAGCGGATAGTGGATAGTGAACGATTAGTCCCATTCGACCGGTTCATCGAATAATTGCAATTCGACTATCAACCGACAAAAAAATGATAATCGACTATTCGATTAACCGAAAATCCGGTTAGTAAATTTTTATCAAGGGCTCTATTAAGGACGTCGTGTTGCAATTGTACCGTCGAGGAGGTAAAATAAATTTTGTTAGCATATGGCTTTATTAACATTTCTATGCTCATAGTTATCATGCTTTCACATCTAGGATTTCCTAAGATTGATTAAAGCCCGAAAGAGAAGTTTTTATCTTTTGCCCGACCAAAAGCTTCCGCACTCCTCCAAGTAACTCACATTGCCTTGACTAAGAACTTTTCAAGCGGCGTTATATGTATGAATGAAGTTTAGTAGCGATCGGGAAGATTAAATTGCATTCAGTATCTCTCTCGGCGTGCTTTTTACATTGGAGAACAAATCTCAGCATTTTGCAGTTGTAATGTCTGGGAAGGAAATTTCTTTGATTTTCATTCTTAGAACTTAACAAATTGTAGTAAGTAGCCGATACGCGCTCCAAAGCTGCATTGGTTTTGGCAAAGTATCTAATTTTTTGATTCACTATGTCCTACTACGATTTACGGCACAACTTTCTTACTGCCTTCCTAGTGTCGTCTCTCACTTTGCTGTTTCTAATGCCTTTGCAGTACTGCTGGCACAGAGGTAACTAGAATTAACGTATGATACAGGGAAGGCGGGGTGACGAAACAGAGTCAGTTTGATTTGCTATGTTTCTACTAATTTATTATGCCCTTTGTTCAGTGATTTTATAAAAAAATAAGTCGAATTAATGAGTAGAATACCGTAAAAAATTGCAGTAAGGAATTTTTCTAAATTAACGATTGGATTTTTATTTTATTTTTATGATTGAAACGGACTTTATTTAGTGTTTTTAAATACACTTCTAAAGTCTTAAAAGGGATAATAATGCTCGCTTTGCTTAAACGCTTCTTCTGCTTGTCATTGTCCAATACTTCTTTCTATTTCTAACCCAGCACGTATTGTACAGTGCTTATCACAATTTACGCTACCGAAGTATTGAAAAATTCTGACTGCTAGTTTTTTAATATTTAATTTAAATTATTATTTTTTAATAAAAATATAGTTTGTTCTTTAACAAAAACCGTTTCAATCTAAGTTTCCAAATTCGCGCAACATTAAAATAAATCAAAAAACTTTTGTAAAAATTGCTAGCTTCTTAATTTAAGGTAGCTAGAGCTTACTGTTGATTTTTGGCAATATTTTTGTTGATAATTTTTTTATATGAATTGTAATTTTTTCATTTTAATATTACAGAAAATTTTAAACTTGAATTTAAACGGGTTATATCTATTAAAGAATAAACTATCTTTTTATAAAAAAAATTACAATTAAATTATAAAAAAATTAATGGTCAAAAAATGTCAATATGTCGCTTTCCCTACGAAAAATCTCCCCCATTTGATCTCTTGTTCCCTCGTGAAAAAGGAGACTTATTCACACATATCTTGGAAATCGAATGTTAATAGAGACAAAATCTATTTGAAAGACAGCCAACAGGATTGTTCGTTTAGTAGAAATCAAGCGAATTCGCTTTCATGAAATTTATGTATTTCGTGGGTGGTATAATTTGTTCGGTGGTACCAGTAACTTTAGCTGGCGTCGCTATTCTGATACTGGCTTTTATCCCCCTTATTATTGCTGTGTTCCTATGTGTTGTTGTTGCTTTCATATTGATGTATTTTTTTCTTTTTGCTATTTTTCTGCTTTCCATTTCGAGGGTGGAAATCGCATATGAGGCGCAATACGCGTACATTCATACATACTACACTC